GGAACGAAAGCCTTCGGAGGAGTTAGCGAAATTCCAATGTGTGCGGATCGGCAAAAAATGCGGAATAACCCTTTAACCGTACATTTGACAGATACGCGCGCATTGACTTTTTCGTAGATCTTATTGAGATACATGTGTGTGTCAATTTTTGTGTCATTTTGCCAAAGCGTACAGGTGTTACACTCAACAATGTGTATTTTCACCTTAGGGGACAAGAAAAAATGGACTTTTTTCTCCTGCCATGGGGGGCGCTCTTTTGGGGAGTAAAAATTCCTTCACAAATGTGTTGATGGCTGGACATTGCATCATCCTAGAAAACTTGGAGGCCAGTGAGGGCAAAAATAAAAAGTTATAAGACTTTTAAATATGTGGATCTTAGGGTTATCTTTGGCGCCCCCTAGAACCTAAACCGTGGGGTGCAGCGTCATGATTTGAATAACTTTTAATGGCCATGGGGTGTAGATTGGCCTGAGCAAATGTGGTGCCGGTGGAACGAAAGCCTTCGGAGGAGTTAGCGAAATTCCAATGTGTGCGGATCGGCAAAAAATGCGAAATAACCCTTTAACCGTAATTTTGACAGATACGGCCGCACTGACTTTTTTGTAGATCTTATTGAGATACATATGTGTGTCAATTTTTGTGTCAATATGACAAAGCGTACAGGCGTGACAGTCAATAGTGTGAATTTCCACCTTAGGGGGCGCTATGGAGCCATTTTGCATTTTATTGTTTGGGCGACTTCAGAATATCGAATTTTTCACCAGGCCCGGTCGTCCTGCCAAATTTCATGAGTTTTCGCCAGTGGGAAGTGGGCCATTTTCCAGTTCAAAGGGGAGGAAAAAGAAGAAAGAAAGAAAGAACTAGGGCCCCGGTGGGGCACTGTCGGGCCCGAGCCGCGTCGCGCCGCCCCCAGCACGACCACCTCCCCCTCCCGATCGCGTCACACTCAAGGTCCAAAGATGGTGTGCGCACTTGTCTGTGGTCATTTCCCATTTTAATGAATGGGAGGCGCAGTTTCTACCAAAACACTCGCTGCAGACAAACTACATGTCCTATTTGAAAAAAGTCTGGACCATGAGTGAGGGCACAAACACAGCTAGGATATATCCAAACGGCAAGTTGCTCCTCGTTACGGTGTTGCCGGGAGAGCGATGCGATTGAGCCATTGAGTGATGGGCAGGAAAAACTTGACTGTTTCTCCTGCCATGGGGGATGGGGGATGTGGGGGGGATGTGGATTCTTTTAAGAATGTGGATATTTGGGTCATCTTTGGCGCCCCCTAGAATGTAAACCGTGGGGTGCAGCGTCATGATTTTTACAACTTTGAATGGCCATGGGGTGTAGATTGGCCTGAGCAAATTTGGTGTCAGTGGGACGAAAGCCTTAGGAGGAGTTAGCCACATTCCAATGTGTGCGAATCGGCAAAAAATGCAAAATAGCCCTTTAACCGTACATTTGACAGATACGCGCGCATTGACTTTTTTGTAGATCTTATTGAGATACATATGTGTGTCAATTTTTGTGTCAATATGATAAAGCGTACAGGCGTGACAGTCAATAGTGTGAATTTCCACCTTAGGGGACAAGAAAAAATGGACTTTTTTCTCCTGCCATGGGGGGGCGCTCTTTTGGGGAGTAAAAATTCCTTCACAAATGTGTTGATGGCTGGACATTGCATCATCCTAGAAAACTTGGAGGCCAGTGAGGACAAAAATAAAAAGTTATAAGACTTTTAAATATGTGGATTTTAGGGTTATCTTTGGCGCCCCCTAGAACCTAAACCGTGGGGTGCAGCGTCATGATTTGAATAACTTTTAATGGCCATGGGGTGTAGATTGGCCTGAGCAAATGTGGTGCCGGTGGAACGAAAGCCTTCGGAGGAGTTAGCGAAATTCCAATGTGTGCGGATCGGCAAAAAATGCGGAATAACCCTTTAACCGTACATTTGACAGATACGCGCGCATTGACTTTTTCGTAGATCTTATTGAGATACATGTGTGTGTCAATTTTTGTGTCATTTTGCCAAAGCGTACAGGTGTTACACTGAACAATGTGTATTTTCACCTTAGGGGACAAGAAAAAATGGACTTTTTTCTCCTGCCATGGGGGGCGCTCTTTTGGGGAGTAAAAATTCCTTCACAAATGTGTTGATGGCTGGACATTGCATCATCCTAGAAAACTTGGAGGCCAGTGAGGGCAAAAATAAAAAGTTATAAGACTTTTAAATATGTGGATCTTAGGGTTATCTTTGGCGCCCCCTAGAACCTAAACCGTGGGGTGCAGCGTCATGATTTGAATAACTTTTAATGGCCATGGGGTGTAGATTGGCCTGAGCAAATGTGGTGCCGGTGGAACGAAAGCCTTCGGAGGAGTTAGCGAAATTCCAATGTGTGCGGATCGGCAAAAAATGCGAAATAACCCTTTAACCGTACATTTGACAGATACGCCCGCACTGACTTTTTTGTAGATCTTATTGAGATACATGTGTGTGTCAATTTTTGTGTCATTTTGACAAAGCGTACACGCGTGACAGTCAATAGTGTGAATTTTCACCTTAGGGGGCGCTATTGAGCCATTTTGCATTTTCTTGTTTGGGCGACTTCGGAATATCAAATTTTTCACCAGGCCCGGTCGTCCTGCCAAATTTCATGAGTTTTCGCCAGTGGGAAGTGGGCCATTTTCCAGTTCAAAGGGGAGGAAAAATAATAATAATAACAAAAGAAGGAAACATGCAGGAACAAGAGGGCTCTCGCAGCTGCTTAGCAGCTACGCTCGGGCCCTAACTAGGACCCCGTTGGGGCACTGGCGGGCCCGAGCTGTGTCGCGTCCCCCCCCCAACGCGCTGCCTCCCCGTCCCATTTGTGTCCTCTGGCCATCGCCCTCTCTGGTAACGCCCATCACTGCAAAGACCCTTTTCCTTCATCGGTGTTTGCTGTTCTTCCTGCCAGTGCGTGTTGCTTTCACTTACACTTGCCACAGCCAGCCTCTTGAGTGCCTAGCCTATTGGATATCACTGTCACCTACTCAGGACAGTCATTACCTTTCTATTAATACTTTGTTTTTTAATTTCACATTAATTTCCATATTGTATAAACAACTGGAAAAAACTTGAGCCCCTGCCCCTGTATAATCATGTGCACGTCTCTGTTCTAGCTCTAAGGTGAATCTTCACTGCTCATGTTCTCCTCAGAAGCAGTCACCTCACTCCCCTCAGGTTACTGTACACATGCACCAACTGCCTGCTTCAGGTTTGGATGGAGCTTCATGGTTGTCTTTTGGAGAAATGACCAGTCAAGTTGTGTTTGAAATTTGATTTTTTTCAGGGGCAAAAGGAGCCTCTGCATTCTTGTCAAATATGTAAATAGCATGTTTTTGCAGGTGCTAAAAACCAGACTCTGAGTGTGTGTGTGTGCGTGTGTGTGTGTGTCTGTGTGTGTGTGTGTGTGTGTGTGTGTGCGTTCAAGTCACATGACATATTTAACCGGATGTAGCTGCAAGACGGAGCCTCGTTGACTCTCCGTTTCAACTTATCTCAAAAGTGAGGACCTCAACCTATATACCAGTTTTTAAATTGTGTTGATAGGCCAAATAAAACCAGAGTTATGATAAATTATGTCCGCGATACTTGTTTTCTGCTTATTTTGATCACGTTCGGCGCTCGATCGCGCTGTATGAGACAGGAAAACATAGCATGCAGACATTAGCGACAGGTCTTACAGGCGGAAAAGGCTTGCCAAAGGAAAAAAAAAACACACCACAACATCTCTCCTTTGGGTGGAAAACTTCACCACAACAACCAATCCAAAATTATATGGTGACTGATTGACAAGGGGCGGGCGCTTACGTTCTTCCTGCAATATGAGAAGGGAGGGAGGGACTCTCAGCAGGGATGCAGTCTGGGACACGTAGTTGCAAACCTAGCGACTTTGTTGTTAGATTCAATGACTTTTCAGACCCCCTAACGACTTTTTTTTTAGAAAGAAAGTGACTTTTATCGACTTCTTCTGGAGTTTAGAGACTCTGACATGAAGCAGGCTTTCCTTACTGAGGAGTTAGCAACGCTGCTAAGGGTGAAGAGCCACACATGCGCTCCGAGCTCTGCATGGGAGACTGAAGCTGACAGAGCTGCAGCAGTTAGCAGGTTTCACCCTCAGAGACCACCAGGGGTTCATGTTGAGGCATTTTCAGTTTTTTTTTTTTTTTTTTTGCCATAGACACTGTCAGCACAATCTGCAGTTACACTAACAAAAATGCTGCAAAAAACAAAGAATTATGGAAAAATTACACATGGACTAACATAGAGGAGGATCTACACAAGTTTTTTACATCATGTTTTACATCATGCATCATTTACATCATGTTTTTTTGTAGTGGCATAAATAAAAAGTGACATTTGTGAGACTATACAGTGTTTTGTAAATAATTTTACAAAGAACACCTGGGCCATTGCCTGCATTTTGATGTAAATAGAGGTAAATTACTATGTTCTTTGTTAAAAATTTGCATATGTTTTGAAGTTTACAATTTTAATTTGAAGTTTAAGTTTTAAAAACAGTTCATCACACATATTTGTGGTTTTCACAGTAAAAACGTTACTTTTTTCCACTCGGATTTTATGTTTTGTGTGTGAATTTGGGTCCAATGTGTAAATATAGTATGTCAAAATGATAAAATAACTGTAAATTGACACAGGTGAGGTTGTGCTGAAAAAAATGATACCAGGCAAGGCAAGGTAAAAATTTTGTAAGAGGAAATATAAAGGTAAAATCTAAAGTAGTCAAAAACGGCCAATAGTGACTCACAGACTCCACAGACAAGTCCCTTTGGCGCCACTCAGTGGGCAAAACTACTTTGTCTACTGTAATGTATATTTGGGTCATCTTTGGCGCCCCCTAAAACGTAAACCGTGGGGTGCAGCGTCATGATTTTTACAACTTTGAATGGCCATGGAGTGTAGATTGGCCTGAGCAAATTTGGTGTCAGTGGGACGAAAGCCTTAGGAGGAGTTAGCGAAATTCCAATGTGTGCGAATCGGCAAAAAATGCAAAATAGCCCTTTTACCGTACATTATACAGATACGCGCTCTTTGACTTTTTCGTAGATCTAATTGAGATACACATGATTGTCAATTTTTGTGTCATTTTGCCAAAGCGTACAGGCGTGACAGTCAACAATGTGTATTTTCACCTTAGGGGACAAGAAAAAATGGACTTTTTTCTCCTGCCATGGGGGGGCGCTCTTTTAGGGAGTAAAAATTCCTTCACAAATGTGTTGATGGCTGGACATTGCATCATCCTAGAAAACTTGGAGGCCAGTGAGGACAAAAATAAAAAGTTATAAGACTTTTAAAAATGTGGATTTTTGGGTTATCTTTGGCGCCCCCTAGAACGTAAACCGTGGGGTGCAGCGTCATGATTTGAATAACTTTTAATGGCCATGGGGTGTAGATTGGCCTGAGCAAATGTGGTGCCGGTGGAACGAAAGCCTTCGGAGGAGTTAGCGAAATTCCACTGTGTGCGAATCGGCAAAAAATGCGGAATAACCCTTTAACCGTACATTTGACAGATACGCGCGCATGGACTTTTTTGTAGATCTTATTGAGATACATGTGTGTGTCAATTTTTGTGTCATTTTGACAAAGCGTACAGGCGTGACACTCAACAATGTGTATTTTCACCTTAGGGGACAAGAAAAAATGGACTTTTTTCTCCTGCCATGGGGGGGCGCTCTTTTGGGGAGTAAAAATTCCTTCACAAATGTGTTGATGGCTGGACATTGCATCATCCTAGAAAACTTGGAGGCCAGTGAGGGCAAAAATAAAAAGTTATAAGACTTTTAAATATGTGGATTTTAGGGTTATCTTTGGCGCCCCCTAGAACCTAAACCGTGGGGTGCAGCGTCATGATTTGAATAACTTTTAATGGCCATGGGGTGTAGATTGGCCTGAGCAAATGTGGTGCCGGTGGAACGAAAGCCTTCAAAGGAGTTAGCGAAATTCCAATGTGTGCGGATCGGCAAAAAATGCGAAATAACCCTTTAACCGTACATTTGACAGATACGCCCGCACTGACTTTTTTGTAGATCTTATTGAGATACATGTGTGTGTCAAATTTTGTGTCATTTTGACAAAGCGTACAGGCGTGACACTCAATAGTGTGAATTTTCACCTTAGGGGGCGCTATGGAGCCATTTTGCATTTTCTTGTTTGGGCGACTTCGGAATATCAAATTTTTCACCAGGCCCGGTCGTCCTGCCAAATTTCATGAGTTTTCGCCAGTGGGAAGTGGGCCATTTTCCAGTTCAAAGGGGAGGAAAAAGAAAAAAGAAACAAAGAAAAACCCCTTGGGGAATAATAGGGCTCTCGCAGCTGCTTAGCAGCTACGCTCGGGCCCTAAAGAAACAAAGAAAAACCACTTGGGGAATAATAGGGCTCTCGCAGCTGCTTAGCAGCTACGCTCGGGCCCTAATAATAACAAAAGAAGGAAACATGCAGGAACAAGAGGGCTCTCGCAGCTGCTTAGCAGCTACGCTCGGGCCCTAACTAGGACCCCGTTGGGGCACTGGCGGGCCCGAGCCGTGTCGCGTCCCCCCCCCCAACGTGCTGCCTTCCCGTCCCATTTGTGTCCTCTGGCCATCGCCCTCTCTGGTAACGCCCATCACTGCAAAGACCCTTTTCCTTCATCGGCGTTTGCTGTTCTTCCTGCCAGTGCGTGTTGCTTTCACTTACACTTGCCACAGCCAGCCTCGTGAGTGCCTAGCCTATTGGATATCACTGTCACCTACACAGGACAGTCATTACCTTTCTATTAATACTTTGTGTTTTAATTTCACATTAATTTCCATATTGTATAAACGACTGGAAAAAACTTGAGCCCCTGCCCCTGTATAATCATGTGCATGTCTCTGTTCTAGCTCCAAGGTGAATCTTCACTGCTCATGTTCTCCTCAGAAGCACTCACCTCACTCCCCTCAGGTTACTGTACACATGCACCAACTGCCTGCTTCAGGTTTGGATGGAGCTTCATGGTTGTCTTTTGGAGAAATGACCAGTCAAGTTGTGTTTGAAATTTGATTTTTTTCAGGGGCAAAAGGAGCCTCTGCATTCTTGTCAAATATGTAAATAGCATGTTTTTGCAGGTGCTAAAAACCAGACTCTGAGTGTGTGTGTGTGTGTGTGTGTGTGTGTGTGTGCGTGTGTGTGTGTCTGTGTGTGCGTTCAAGTCACATGACATATTTAACCGGATGTAGCTGCAAGACGGAGCCTCGTTGACTCTCCGTTTCAACTTATCTCAAAAGTGAGGACCTCAACCTATATACCAGTTTTTAAATTGTGTTGATAGGCCAAATAAAACCAGAGTTATGATAAATTATGTCCGCGATACTTTTTTTCTGCTTATTTTGATCACGTTCGGCGCTCGATCGCGCTGTATGAGACAGGAAAACATAGCATGCAGACATTAGCGACAGGTCTTACAGGCGGAAAAGGCTTGCCAAAAGAAAAAAAAAACACACCACAACATCTCTCCTATTGGTGGAAAACTTCACCACAACAACCAATCCAAAATTATATGGTGACTGATTGACAAGGGGCGGGCGCTTACGTTCTTCCTGCAACATGAGAAGCGAGGGAGGGACTCTCAGCAGGGATGCAGTCTGGGACACGTAGTTGCAAACCTAGCGACTTTGTTGTTAGATTCAATGACTTTTCAGACCCCCTAACGACTTTTTTTTAGAAAGAAAGGGACTTTTATCGACTTCTTCTGGAGTTTAGAGACTCTGACATGAAGCAGGCTTTCCTTACTGAGGAGTTAGCAACGCTGCTAAGGGTGCAGAGCCACACATGCGCTCAGAGCTCTGCATGGGAGACTGAAGCTGACAGAGCTGCAGCAGTTAGCAGGTTTCACCCTCAGAGACCACCAGGGGTTCATGTTGAGGCATTTTAAATTTATTTTTTTTTTTGTGCCATAGACACTGTCAGCACAATCTGCAGTTACACTAACAAAAATGCTGCAAAAAACAAAGAATTATGGCAAAATTACACATGGACTGACATAGAGGAGGATCTACACAAGTTTTTTACATCATGTTTTACATCATGCATCATTTACATCATGTTTTTTTGTAGTGGCATAAATAAAAAGTGACATTTGTGAGACTATACAGTGTTTTGTAAATAATTTTACAAAGAACGCCTGGGCCATTGCCTGCATTTTGATGTAAATAGAGGTAAATTACTATGTTCTTTGTTAAAAATTTGCATATGTTTTGAAGTTTACAATTTTTATTTGAAGTTTAAGTTTTAAAAACAGTTCATCACACATATTTGTGGTTTAATTTCACATTAATTTCCATATTGTATAAATGACTGGAAAAAACTTGAGCCCCTGCCCCTGTATAATCATGTGCACGTCCCTGTTCTAGCTCCAAGGTGAATCTTCACTGCTCATGTTCTCCTCAGAAATAGTCACCTCACTCCCCTCAGGTTACTGTACACATGCACCAACTATCTGCTTCAGGTTTGAAATGGAGCTTCATGGTTGTCTTTTGGAGAAATGAACAGTCAAGTTGTGTTTGAAATTTGATTTTTTTCAGGGGCAAAAGGAAGCCTCTGCATTCTTGTCAAATCTGTAAACAGCATGTTTTTGCAGGTGCTAAAAAACAGACTCTGAGTGTGTGTGTGTGTGTGTCTGTGTCTGTGTGTGTGTGTGTGTGTGTGTGTGTGTGTGTGTGTGTGTGTGTGTGTGTGTATGTTGGCGTGTGTGTATATGTGTGTGTATCCTGCAGTACTCTGTACTCCTGCAGTGGCCAAAAAGACTTTTAAGAATGTGGATTTTTGGTTCATCTTTGGCGCCCCCTAGAATTGCAGTACTTTGTACTCCTGCAGTGGCCAAAATGACTTTTAAGAATGTGGATTTTTGGGTCATCTTTGGCGCCACCTAGAACGTAAACCGTGGGGTGCAGCGTCATGATTTTTACAACTTTGAATGGGCATGGGGTGTAGACTGCCCTGAGCAAATTTGGTATCGGTGGGACGAAAGCCTTAGGAGGAGATAGCCACATTCCAATGTGTGCGAATCGGCAAAAAATGCAAAATAGCCCTTTAACCGTACATTATACAGATACGCGCTCTTTGACTTTTTCGTAGATCTAATTGAGATACACATGATTGTCAATTTTTGTGTCAATATGACAAAGCGTTCAGGCGTGACACTCAACAATGTGTATTTTTATGTAAGGGGACAAGAAAAAATTGACTTTTTTCTCCTACCATGGGGGGGCGCTCTTTTGGGGAGTAAAAATTCCTTCACAAATGTGTTGATGGCTGGACATTGCATCATCCTAGAAAACTTGGAGGCCAGTGAGGACAAAAATAAAAAGTTATAAAACATTTAAGAATGTGGATTTTTGGGTTATTTTTGGCGCCACCTAGAACCTAAACCATGGGGTGCAGCATCATGATTTGAATAACTTTTAATGGCCATGGGGTGTAGATTGGCCTGAGCAAATGTGGTGCCGGTGGAACGAAAGCCTTCGGAGGAGTTAGCGAAATTCCAATGTGTGCGTATCGGCAAAAAATGCGGAATAACCCTTTAACTGTACATTTGACAGATACGCGCGCATGGACTTTTTTGTAGATCTTATTGAGTTACATGTGTGTGTCAATTTTTGTGTCATTTTGACAAAGCGTATAGGCGTGACACTCAACAATGTGTATTTTCACCTTAGGGGACAAGAAAAAATGGACTTTTTTCTCCTGCCATGGGGGGGCGCTCTTTTGGGGAGTAAAAATTCCTTCACAAATGTGTTGATGGCTGGACATTGCATCATCCTAGAAAACTTGGAGGCCAGTGAGGACAAAAATAAAAAGTTATAAGACTTTTAAATATGTGGATTTTAGTGTTATCTTTGGCGCCCCCTAGAACCTAAACCTTGGGGTGCAGCGTCATGATTTTGATAACTTTTAATGGCCACGGGGTGTAGATTGGCCTGAGCAAATGTGGTGCCGGTGGAACGAAAGCCTTCGGAGGAGTTAGCGAAATTCCAATGTGTGCGGATCGGCAAAAAATGCGAAATAACCCTTTAACCGTAATTTTGACAGATACGGCCGCACTGACTTTTTTGTAGATCTTATTGAGATACATAAGTGTTTCAATTTTTGTGTCAATATGACAAAGCGTACAGGCGTGACAGTCAATAGTGTGAATTTCCACCTTAGGGGGCGCTATGGAGCCATTTTGCATTTTATTGTTTGGGCGACTTCAGAATATCGAATTTTTCACCAGGCCCGGTCGTCCTGCCAAATTTCATGAGTTTTCGCCAGTGGGAAGTGGGCCATTTTCCAGTTCAAAGGGGAGGAAAAAGAAGAAAGAAAGAAAGAAAGAAAGAAACAAAGAAAAACCACTTGGGGAATAATAGGGCCTACGCCCGGCTGCTCTGCAGCTGGCTCGGGCCCTAAAGAAAGAAACAACTAGGGCCCCGTTGGGGCACTGGCGGGCCCGAGCCATGTCGCACCCCCCCCCCCCCCCCCAACGCGCTGCCTCCCCGTCCCATTCGTGTCCTCTGGCCATCGCCCTCTCTGGTAACGCCCATCACTGCAAAGACCCTTTTCCTTCATCGGCGTTTGCTGTTCTTCCTGTCAGTGCGTGTTGCTTTCACTTACACTTGCCACAGCCAGCCTCGTGAGTGCCTAGCCTATTGGATATCAGTGTCACCTACACAGGACAGTCATACTTTGTTTTTTAATTTCACATTAATTTCCATATTGTATAAACGACTGGAAAAAACTTGAGCCCCTGCCCCTGTATTATCATGTGCACGTCCCTGTTCTAGCTCCAAGGTGAATCTTCACTGCTCATGTTCTCCTCAGAAGCAGTCACCTCACTCCCCTCAGGTTACTGTACACATGCACCAACTGCCTGCTTCAGGTTTGGATGGAGCTTCATGGTTGTCTTTTGGAGAAATGAGCAGTCAAGTTGTGTTTGAAATTTGATTTTTTTCAGGGGCAAAAGGAAGCCTCTGCATTCTTGTCAAATATGTAAATAGCATGTTTTTGCAGGTGCTAAAAAACAGACTCTGAGTGTGTGTGTGTGTGTGTGTGTGTGTGTGTGTGTGTGTGTGTGTGTGCGTGCGTGTGTGTGTGTGTGTGTGTGTGTCTGTGTGTGTGTGTGTGTGTATCCTGCAGTACTCTGAGAAGAATAATAAGCATATTTCTGAGGTGAATTTTAAAGATTCAACTGAGAGTTAGGTTTGATTCGATTCGATTGACGCTCCCCAGCGTTCAAGTCACATGACATATTTAACCGGATGTAGCTGCAAGACGGAGCCTCATTAACTCTCCGTTTCAACTTATCTCCAAAGTGAGGACCTCAACCTATATACCGGTTTTTAAATTGTGTTGATAGGCCAAATAAAACCAGAGTTATGATAAATTATGTCCGCGATACTTTTTTTCTGCTCATTTTGATCACGTTCGGCGCTCGATCGCGCTGTATGAGACAGGAAAACATAGCATGCACACATTAGCGACAGGTCTTACAGGCGGAAAAGGCTTGCCAAAAGAAAAAAAAAACACACCACAACATCTCTCCTATTGGTGGAAAACTTCACCACAACAACCAATCCAAAATTATATTGTGACTGATTGACAAGGGGCGGGTGCTTACGTTCTTCCTGCAACATGAGAAGGGAGGGAGGGACTCTCAGCAGGGATGCAGTCTGGAACACGTAGTTGCAAACCTAGCGACTTTGTTGTTAGATTCAATTACTTTTCAGACCCCCTAACGACTTTTAGAAAGAAAGGGACTTTTATCGACTTCTTCTGGAGTTTAGAGACTCTGACATGAAGCAGGCTTTCCTTACTGAGGAGTTAGCAACGCTGCTAAGGGTGCAGAGCCACACATGCGCTCCGAGCTCTGCATGGGAGACTGAAGCTGACAGAGCTGCAGCAGTTAGCAGGTTTCACCCTCAGAGACCACCAGGGGTTCATGTTGAGGCATTTTCAGTTTTTTTTTTTGTTGCCATAGACTGTCAGCACAATCTGCAGTTACACTAACAAAAATGCTGCAAAAAACAAAGAATTATGGAAAAATTACACATGGACTGACATAGAGGAGGATCTACACAAGTTTTTTACATCATGTTTTACATCATGCATCATTTACATCATGTTTTTTTGTAGTGGCATAAATAAAAAGTGACATTTGTGAGACTATACAGTGTTTTGTAAATAATTTTACAAAAAACGCCTGGGCCATTGCCTGCATTTTGATGTAAATAGAGGTAAATTACTATGTTCTTTGTTAAAAATTTGCATATGTTTTGAAGTTTACAATTTTTATTTGAAGTTTAAGTTTTAAAAACAGTTCATCACACATATTTGTGGTTTAATTTCACATTAATTTCCATATTGTATAAATGACTGGAAAAAACTTGAGCCCCTGCCCCTGTGTAATCATGTGCACGTCCCTGTTCTAGCTCCAAGGTGAATCTTCACTGCTCATGTTCTTCTCAGAAATAGTCACCTCACTCCCCTCAGGTTACTGTACACATGCACAAACTATCTGCTTCAGGTTTGGATGGAGCTTCATGGTTGTCTTTTAGAGAAATGAACAGTCAAGTTGTGTTTGAAATCTGATTTTTTTCAGGGGCAAAAGGAAGCCTCTGCATTCTTGTCAAATATGT